AATTAATACAATAGAGAATAATTTTTGTACAATATGAGATAAGGAATAATATTGTGGGAAATGCATTTTTGTCAAAATTGATTTTTTTATCAAATGCCGCTCGACGGATTCAAATGAAACAAACCAATGAAATATAACTTTAGGGTATTTTTAGAGTATTTATTAGAATGTGTCGAACTCTGCCGATAATTTTAATAATATTATAAATTTTCTTTTTAGTTTGTGCTTGAACCACGCAGAAGTTCTTGGCTGGAAATAATTAATGTGGGAAATATAGATACTAGAAGGAAACATATCTTTGTTTGTTAACTTTATTTTGAAGATTAATGTTTTAACCGAACAATAAATTAATAGTAAATCTACGTGATGGGGCCCTATCGCTACAAGCTCTATTGGTAAATCATAATGTAAACGATTCATTATGTGTTTTGTTATATTAGTTTTGGAAGCATTTTTTGAAGAGGTGCAAACTTAACATTTTATTTAACATTTATATTAAGTTCATAACTAACCGGGTTCTTGTACCTATATGTTTCTGTTTTCCTCCGCTATCTATCACTATCATTGTAATGTACAAACATTTTCGTTCAGAGCTTAGTACAGTACCTATAGAATCTATAGAAAAATCTATGTTCAATTGGATCAAGTAAGTTAAATTATACTATTTATGTTGCAGCCTCTAGCCAGATATGTGCATGAAAATGAACTTGGAACCAGTTCTGGAGTCTTCTCGAAAGATGGTTTTGCAGATTACATTACAGGGAAACACTACGAAAAATACGAAGATATTGTATATTATAAATCTTGATTTTATGAATACTTTGATACAGTTTTATTTTTCAACCCTCAAAAATTACTTAACCTTAAGTATATAAATATTGACCAGTTGATGGAAAATCCTTTTCATGAATTTCGATACATAAGTATCGTGAAAGTTATGATGTGAATGTATAGGCACGATCGACTGGAGTGACAGTGCACGCAGCAACTACTAAATATATTTCGCTAATATGTTGGTAATGTTTAGCAGCTACATAAAAATTAAATCCAGATGAATCATAAAATAATGATATTTTATTGATAAGTCAATTAAAACCAATTCTAAAATATCGATATTTCTACAGTTTTAAAAGTTACATCCCTAGTTCTATCCGCCATTACGGGTGACCAAGTGAAGTTTATGTAGGCACGATTTTTTCCTAGTTGTTTCTTATCCATACTCTTATCATATCAGTGCTCGCACCTTAGGTATGACTTGGGTTTTAATATCGTAAACAGCCAGTTTTGTTAATTCTATTTTCAAAAAAATAATTTATTTATCTACGTATCTGATGGTCGTGTTAAAAACACGCACACAAGCGCCACTGTGTCCATATATCATACTCTAAACTTATTAAGATATCTTAAAATTCTGACTCAGTTCAAAATAAAAGCAAGTTATAAAATATTTATACGAATCTGTTAATTTATTATGTAAACAATGACCTTAGAGCATACGTTTTTTAGCAAAATACCACTCTATTCTGCAGATCAAAGTAAATATAAACATTCGCAGTAAGTACTCGCCCTTGTAGTCCTGAACTTACAGCTTGGTGAATTCCAACTATTTGCATTAACAGACCTGTTTATTTGCTCAACTAAATCTGTGAAATCACCATAACATTTTTACAGTTTCGCCTACAATACATTTAATCTGTGGAGGTGATAAAAACTAACGGTGACGTCACGGCGCGATTTTAGTTCTCGTTTTAAAAGTGTTATTATAAATAGAAGTTGTTGTTGATAGGTTTGTGGCGAAGTTAAAACACAGGAGCGTTTTTGTAGCATATTTTAACCAGATTTGGATTTATCCAGATTTACGGCGCCGGAGCTGCGACCGGTGCAGTTGTTGTGTCCATGTGTCCGTGCACGTTGTAATATGAATAAACTTTTAACCCGGCTATATGACAAGATGTTTTGTTTTACCGTGATGCTCAAATTGATTCTTCTATACTTAAATCATCGTTCGGTAACTTAAATATCGTCAAGAGCCTTGAATTTGAATCTTGTGTGCAATATTAAACCTTATTAAGAAGAAAAATAAAGACAGTTTACATCTCAGGCAAAAAGAACAATGCTAAAGAACTTTTAAATTTATATCATACTAAAATTATAAATGCCAAAGTTTATTTATTACTCCTTCACGCCAAGAGGCCAAAACTGTGTGGGAGAGCCATGCTTCGGCACGAATGGGCCGGCTTGACCGGAGTGATACTACGGCCTCACAGAAGACCGACGTGAAACAACGTTGTGTTGTGTTTCATCGTGTGAGTGAGGTTACGGGAGGCCCAATTACCCCCTCCCCCTTTCTCCAATCCCTAAATCCCCAACAATCCTCAATTTCCTAATCCAGAAGGCCGGTAACGCACTTGTAACGCCTCTGGTGTTCCAGGTGTCCATGGGCGACGCCGATTGCTTACCATCAGGTGATCCGCATGCTCGTTTACCGGCTTATCCCATAAAAAAAAACCAGGTCTGGATGAAATTTGGAACAGGTAGATTATAGGATAACACAAAAGGCTACTTTTATCCTACGGGAACCCGGGCGATGCGGCTGACAAAAACTAGTCTGTAATATATGTAGATCCAACATCCTGCTATCTTAATTCCAACCAATGAATTCAATTACTTTGCGCAGTTCAACTGATAAAAAAGATATTTACATACCAACAACAATGAATCGGATAACAGTGACAATTTCTGTACAAAACTGAAATAGTTTTCGATATAGAGAATTGAAACGAGCTGAAAGCAGAACACGTACAATATTTGATTCTACTAAGAGATAACTTCAAATCAGGTAATATTGTTTTGTTGAATACTTTTTAGGAGTACTTACTATCTAATGCATTTCCAATGAGGCATTAAAAAGAGGAATTTCTTTGCTTTTACCAAAAAATCAACCATATCACTACCATAGTATAAAATACAATCGCATTTCACTGTCTATCCTTATTAATGTATGCTTAGACTTTAAAACTACACAACAGGTCTTTTGATGCGGTCTAACTACATAATTTTACAGGTAGGCTATACAGTTTTATAAAAAATACTATTTAAATCTTAATTCCAAAGCACAAAATCCATATTTGCGTCAAACACTAAAGCTTTGTTACACTCATGAATCGTCAGAACACCGTTATCTTCTTACTCTCTTCATTACAAGACCTTGCCAATCACGAAATTACCGCGCCAACCAAAAACCTACTCTTTCAATATTTGTACAAGCCTGTGACGTCACTATCCATGTTATACAGACCTCTCTATCTGCGGCTCAGTCCACACTATACGAAATTACTGTTACTGTCCGAACACTCAATGATATGGGGGTTTCACACTTAATTGGATCCCCGACACTTAATTGGCTAAGTGATGGATGGAATGACCGCCATAAGTTACTTTTTTTTCTGGTTGAAAATGAATGTAGTGTGGTATTTGTGCAAGATGAATTGGTACGCATCTGTCAGGAATGATTTTGAGGTTAGATTTTGGAGTCAAATAGATTCAGAGGCAGTTTTGTAGTTCATGGCTTCGTTTATTTTTAATGTCAGTGCTATTCATCTTCTTACTTAGTGAAATTATAGCATGACAGTCTTCAGATTTTACGATTTAATCTTGAATAATAAAATTATACCTTTACCTCTGGAGCAGATCTTTGTCATAAACTTCACGCCCTATTACGTTCTCCTCGAAACTTGTAACATAAATGTCAAAACATTATTTAAGAGCTAACAATATGTTCCCTTACCTTCACCTCATTTGTATACAAACATACTTACCTACATATATTTCTTTTCCAGGTCAAAGCATCATTAAAACATCTGCATTGTATAAAGAAGCCTGAAAGGGTGAGTGATTTATACTTTTATATTGAAATTTATAAACTGTTTAAGACAAATTGATACTTAAGACGTGAAGATATTTTTATACGAATCCTTGATGGAATGATGTGTAGATTAGTGCGAATTTTGTATGGCCATCTGGTAAATTGTTACAGCATGTTACAAACGTATTTGAAACTAATGAAAGATATCGATGATTCCATCTGTTAATGTTACATTTGTCATTTCAATGCGTCTGTTTTTGTGTTATTATTGTATGCCTGACATTTGTATCTTATTTATGATTTTTATACACCAGATGTTCAGTTAATAGAAGACAATTATACATCTGTGAAAACCGCATTCGAATTGGATCAGTAGATTTCATGTGATGCACGCACAAACATCAGACAGACAGAAATCTAACCACGTTTTTCTAGTGATTTTAATAAAAGACCACTTGATGACCGACGCAGAGGTTCACGCGTAAAGCGCATACCATAACGTGATGGTACCTGCATACTAAATAACTGTGATAAATATATGTACCTTATACAGATATACAGCTTACATACAGCAGTTACCGGAGGCCAAATTACCCCCCCCCCCTTCCCCAATCCCTGAATCCCCAACGACCCTCAAACTCGTAATCCCCAAAAGGCTGGTAACGCACTTGTAACGCCTCTGGTGTTCCAGGTGTCCATGTGTGACGCCGATCGCTTACCATCAGGTGATCCGTCTGCTAGTTTACCGGCTAATGCCATAAAAAAATTAAAATGAAGTATAATATACCTAGTATCTCCAATTATTCAACAGCAGCATCAAATAGCACGCGTAATGAAAACATTAGTGCTACGACCTGTATCCATTACTCGCTTTGAATTGCTAACTACGTTCCTATCGGTTTCCGTGTATGAGTAAATATAACATTTCAACGAAAATCATTGTTAACCCGATATTTTAATACCATTACGGTTTTAGCGTAAACTCTTCATATTTATTTTCAGGTTAAATGCATGTAAGTATTTATTTCTCTGATAGAATATACAGCTACATTTACTATTCTATCGGGAGCAGTTGGCTGAAAATAGCCATTTTATCAATATTTTGGGTTGAACCCTTGATAAGCTTATACAAACGAAAGTGTCTTACTTATTATGTTGTAAGCCGGTAAACGAGCAGACGGATCACCTGATGGTAAGCAATCGGCGTCGACCATGGACACCTGGAACGTTTGAACCAGAGGCGTTACAAGTGCGTTACATTTTGGGGATTAGGAGTTTGAGGATCGTTGGGGATTCAGGGATTGGGGACATTGGGGAAGGGGAGGGTAATTGGGCCTTCGGTGACATCACTCACACGACGAAACACAACGCAAGCGTTGCTTCACGTCCGTTTTCTGTGAGGCCGTGGTATCACTCCGGTCGAGCCGGCCCATTCGTGCCGAAGCATGGCTCTTCCACACTTAAAACGTCTTATTTATGTTGTTTAATTTTAATATTATATTACCTAACTAATATTGATGGGATTTGGCTTAGTTAGATGAATATTTTTTTTTTAAAACGTTACAACAAATAAAGTTCATTGTTCGACGACAAACAATGATCCGAATGAAACCATACATTACCGTTGATATTTTTATGAAGACTTGAAACTTTTTGAATGCCTTTGTTCATACTCGATAAGGTAACTTTTATTGTTCAAGTAGATTTGTTTGAAAAGAAAAGGAATATGTGAATACTGTTTAATTTCCTTCATTTGTGGTTCAAGAGTTGAAGAGGAGAGATATTATAAAGTCTTTGGTTCCTTTACAAAATTATATATCCTTGTAGATAAATTTTGGAACTATTCAAGTGGAGTGCCTATACAGACATAATGTTTATCCTATTGAGATATCAAATAATTTTATGATCTATCGTACAGTACAGCTTTCAAGTCGTAAATTTTCGTAAAATAGGCTAAAGTTTTTTGACGTCTGCAACTCAATAGATGTTGCCTGGTGCAACACAAGAATTGGTAGTGTAATATAATTCTACAAAAATATTTTCATTGAGTTCAATGGACCTCAGACGGTATTTTGGAAAAATATCGTCAGGATACTTCAACTTCAATATCATATACATATAGGTATATACAATAACCTCATGCCTGTCTCCCATGGGGGTAGGCAAAGACTATGGAATTTGACCTTTTATTAATCTGAATAAATACGTCTACTGCAAAAATGCGAATATGAAAGTCGTTTGTATGTATACCTTAGTTGTAACAACTTTTGTGGTCGACCAAAATAATCTATAACAACATATTTACACGAGCTAGCGCACGCTTTATTTAATTTGAGGCTTATAATAATAATATTCTATGTACTACGTACATCAATAAATATTTTACGACCTTATTACAAGCATGCAAGGTCAAATATCGTGTGTTACCTACGCGATACTGATGCGGTAGTAATAAACCCAAAATATATCATTAAAAGGTATAATAAAAGTTATACCCCATCGATTTATAGGATTTCAGACTCCGGGTTAATGTAACCTTATTAAATAATCGAAGATTATATTTTTATTGGTACGCACATTTTATATACAAGACATTAATGGTAATGGCATAATCGGAAGTCGTAAAAACCTGATGACGTGTATAACCAAGAATGTGATATCTCCCTCATTAGATTGTAAAGAGATTGGTAGACAACTCACATTGAGCAAGCATGCTGATTAAACTGTCAAACACCAAGCGGTCACCGGTGCCCGCAACCTATTGTTCTATAATTAAACGGTTTTTGTGTCTATAATGACGGTACTCGACGAGTTAATACTCAAACCTTCTCCGTGCTAGAAGAGGCCTTTGGTCAGCAGTGGCCACGTAAAGGCTGTTAATAATGATGGTAGTCACTCCTTGTAAAATATTAACATTAATCTAACATTGTGAACAAAGGCCGGTATCATAGAACGATACCTACTCAAGCAGACATCACCTCAAGTATAATTCGAAAGCATAGATCCACGTGTACCTAGGTATCGGTTGAATGTATTTGCATCCATTTTTTATTAACTATACGTGAAGTCTCCGCTGAGTATCGTTGTATAATATCAGTCTTAGTAGGTATCGAACACTTCCTTAAAAAAATAAGGAAATAAAGTTGGGAAATTAAAAAATAGAGATTTTTTGTTGTAACATAGAGATTTCACTTACAAGTTCTGGTTAAAATTGACGATGTTTCCGGTTAATGAAAGACCTGATTGTTTGACAGTGCATAAGATAAATATATAGGTAAAATATTTCTCAAATTTCCATACATTATATATTAAATTATATTACGCCAAGCAAGCTGTTCAAACATAGGGAGGTCGTTCAAGTTTCCAGTTTGGTTTGATAAAGATAACTTTAGATAATCAAGAGTGAGAGAACATAAGTTTTGTTTGTATTACTTTGGTATATATTACTGATATATTATATCAGATACGCGTGATTAAAACTGATAAAGTAATTATAAACCCAGAAAAAAATAATATTTTTATGAAACATTTTGTTAAGATGAATGCTCGGAGCTTCCGGTAATTTCACTCACAGTCACACGAAGAAACACAACGCAATCGTTTTCTCTCGCCAGTTTTGTGTGAGGCGGTGGTATCACTTCGATGACAAAGCATGCTCCACCAATACTTATGAGTCCAAATTGAATAATTTCCACTACACCATAAGCTTAGCTAATTGTGTAATCAATGTTATTGCACTCTTTGTGGATATAGGAGGTCTCCGCACTGCATTAGAAAAATATTTAATAGGTTTTTGTAAAATATTAATTATATTATTTACTTGCAAAACCACAAAAACAAACACTCGTCCATTAACAGTCTGCTAAGTAAATGTACAAACAGAATAGAACAATTATTTGCTTTCATTTTATTTGCAAAAGACCTTCACACGTGTGCTAATTTTAAATCAATTAAGCTGACTAAATATAGACTCGCATGAATTTTGGATATCTCTGTTAAGAATAACCAAAGTTCATAAAAAATCTTTGTCACGTTTATCACGTGGGATAACCATATGTTATGTTTCGCCACAAATCAGCTCAGTCAGAGGTAGTGGCACAACCTCACAGAAAACTGGTACCGGCATTGCGCCGTCTAACAACGCATGGATTGTAAGTATAAGTGAGGATACCGGAGGTCCAATAAAAAGGATGGGAACGCACTTGTATGTAACTCTTTCATGCGCATAAGCCCATACTGCCTTCCGAGTTAGGCGTAGTATCACCTGATTGGCAACCATCAGGTGATACTACTTCTACTGGTCCTGTCCATCTGTCTATTTAGTTCATAATAAATAGGCCTAAAATTAATCCCTACATTTCAATCTACGAAATAATGAACAATTTCATAATTAACAAGGATTGTTTAAAAAAATCGTATCAAGGTCGAAAATCATAATTATACGTTCTAAACATGTCTATCAGGCTGTCTATCTGTCATAAAGCTGAAGCTTGTTGTCCATTCCAGAGGTTCCAATGAAGTAGGATGACCTAGACATTCCATGGTTACTCTTGTCAAATTAGGTTAACTCGTCGAGTACCGGTTTTGTAGACACAATTATAGAACAATAGGTTGCGGTCACCGGTGACCGCTTGGTGTTTGACAGTTTAATGAGTTGAATTTATAATCATTAATTTTTCCGCAAGATATTTCATTCTTGCAAGGGAACTGATACTGTGTCTGGCGTGTGTAATAAGCTGGCTTTAATAATTCTTATAGCATAGATTTTTACAATAACTATCGTGAGAAATACTGAATTAACTAAAAACTGAGTTTGACTGAACTTACTCATGAGCAGCGTACGCGGCCGCGGCGACATCGCACAGCTCACGCTGCTCATGAAGAAGAACCCCTCTGTGGTTCGAAACTAGTAGAGCTTTTCTCAGTATATTCACGTGAGTAACCCGCAGTTTTTAGTTAGCATAGATTTTATTAAAATCCCTGCCTACACCTTCGGAGGAAATAAAACGTGTTATTGACTAG